AGGTATTTTTAATATAAAAAATTCGGGGCGGGAAAATTCTTTATCTTAGAGTGATTTTATCTTAAAGTGACTTTATTATGTATATGTTTTTCTATATATAAGTAATTTCAATAAAAATTTTTAATTGCGTTATTCAATCAACACACGTACATTATGAATAAATAATAATATTCTGATAAAGACCCTGTTTAATTATAATCCCCGTCATCGACGAATAAGATCGATACTTGCCAATCAATTCTATTTAGTATTTTTGCGTCAGGATTATTGTTTAACTATATTAATAATTTTAGATAAGATAATTTTCCCGATCGATAGACTTTGAGATTAATCCCATCCAAGGCTAGTGCACTGCCGCTCTCCCAGGTGTAAGCTAGCTCGATAACGTACTACTATAAATAATTGGTTTATAAAAAGTGGGCAGCTCTCGATTGTCGATGTTACTATAAATGCGCATGACAATCAGCATGATCGTAAGGAATAAAACCGTATGATAAATCATGCCATTATTCAAACGATAACATAGATTCATAAATAAAAGCATATCAACGCCGCTGTATTGATAACCTGTTCAATAAAGTCCTAACTCAGCATTATCAAAACTAAACAAACATGTATTTCAGCTCCATCTCTCGTCCAAATTTGATAAACTGGTGGATTTATCGTCAATGTGCAGACGATGATGACAGCAGTGTAGTTGAGTCTTCGGTGAGACATTCACTAATAAACATGAAGCTATACGCAGACTTGTGAGAGAGCAAATTGACAGAAACGTTGGATTAATTAAAGCAGTAATAAAGAAAAAGGGAAAGCGACCTGTAGATAACTTCACTTCGAATTAATATTCCTAAAGTTGATAGAATTAAATTAAGCAAGAATTTCTTACATTGTAAATACGTGCGTACTTGGCGTCATTGAGAGTGATATCGTATTGAGTATTCACAATTAATGTATGCTTATACTGCAGCTGACATGGAGCAAGTCAGTGCAGAATCTCCTGGACTGGAAGACATTCCAGATCGAATGGTGTCGTTGACAGAAGCAGTACGGCAAGAGAGGATTGTCAGAGCGAGGAAGTTAATAGATATCAGTATAAGTCAAGCTGTTCAACCAGAATCCACAATGCCACCCATACCAACAGACAACGTATTAATTACAGATAAACTTATATTTGCAAAAATCGAGAAAGCTTTCTTCTCATTGAGTACACACTTATAAAAATGCATAAAACGCGGTATAAAACCATACACGCACGAATAAAACATAAAACACTGAGGGCATAAGTCGGTGAACGACGCCGTTTTTGAACAATTGACGCTTGGAGGATAGCACACGGCTGCCATAATAATAATTGCTGTACGTTGTATTCACTGTGATCAGAACATATACAAGTTCATTAATTGGTTGACTGTACAGATGTGTAACGTTAAGCAGTGTGTTCATTATGCAATTACGCTAGTTTTCGTTCTATCGGCTTCGCAAAGATGGCAGAGATTAGAGTAAGTAAAGTTTACATATACCTTATATCCGCCAACAAAACTGCTGTTAGTATTTACAGTATCAATGGGGAAAACAATTAACGAGCCAAAATCCAAGAATGTTGTTAATCAATCGCTTCCTAGTTATCAACCTAGAAACTTTACGATCTCTATAGTAATAGTAACTTACATACTATTATTTAGAATAACAGTGAAACGTCATCCTCAAAAACGAAAACTAAAGGCAAAGGCAAGCAAGTAGAAGATATAGATATTGATCATATTGCTCAGTTGGATTCCGATTTTAGCAATGATGAAGATAGTCAACAGCTTTGCGTCGTCGCCGATGAGACTACAGATGGACTTCACTATTATGAAAACCTGAGTGCTATTCAATTAAGGGAAGAGTTAACCAAATGCTTAGAATCGATTACCAACGATAATGACAGGAGACATTACTTTATCAGATTGCATACTTTGTTATTGACATCAGAGGCTAGATTGGATGATGATCAAGTGGAAAAGGTATTGAGAACAATAGGAACAGCAAGTATATCATATATGGCACATAAGAAAACCACTGGTATGGAGTTGGAGCTACATCTTAGGATATATGTGTTAGCATTGGAAGCATGGGGCAGGAGACCTGCAATACTGACAAGAGAATTCCGTGAGACTTTATATGGACATCTTGCTATGTTGAATGATTTTCATCAACGTCATACACAAACACTAAGAAAAGGTCTGGACAAAAGCTTTAAATCCGAGTACAACCCATACAAGCACCAGAGAGGCTCATACGACTTGTATTTTGGTTTAGAAAGAGGTATCAATGTTCAGAATTACAATACTGACTTTTTACTGTTACATCTTCGTGACACTCTTCATGCAATGCATGATGATGAGACAGTTTTATTTAAGATTATAAAATCACTGAAAGCTATGTTTGCTGGCTTAGTTAGAATTCTACCTGGTATGGCTAATATCATGGCAAATATTCAAACCCCATCTGATACTGATAACAATGCTTCTCTTGAGACTTACAATAAGATTCAACAGGCTCTAAGTCCCAAGTTTCCTATCAGCTATTGGTACAAGGATTGGAGATATCTATACAGCACATATCAAGCATTTGTTGAATGGTCAGGTATACCAATCAACAAGGATCTAATCCACGAAGGAGAATTAATAATTATTAAAGATTTATGGAACTTTGGAGATCAAGAGTGGGCCAAAGCTGTTGAAAAATCAGTAACAGAGATAGATATTTTTAAGTCTGAGTTAAAGCACACTTTGGTCCATATTGGTGGTTATGCCCCTGTATCATATCCATACTCTTTATTGTATGGAATATTGGAAATTACTCAAAAACTCATATTATCTACAAAGAATACTAGTACTTTGGCTCACTGCTATTATCTTGCAAAATTGACACTTGACATTGTGTTGACAGAAAATATTCAATTTAAGGCAATGGAAGTCTTGACAATACTTTATAAAATTGAATGAGGCCAATAAAAGCAGGCTTCAAGATGTGATAGAATACATTAATATTAAATATAAACTTGCATTAGAGACACCAATGTCAAAGCAAAATGCAGTGTTTATGTTAGAACAGAATCTTGAGGAATTGCTTGATTCTGATTCAGATGATTTGCTGATTTTGGATATGGTGGCAGATCATCTCACATGCCCCTTCACACAGAGAGTTACAGATGATTTTAGAATACTACCATGTGGACACAAAATCAGCTACTCAGCATTAGAGAAATTTATGAAATTAAATTATTATTCATCAAAGTGTTTTTACTGCAACAAAAAAATTCAGATCAAAGATACCAAAGCAATACCAAGTTCACCTATATATAAAGCATTGTATGAAAAATTTGTTGAAGCTGGTCACATTATACCAAAAGACAATACAACAGACTTTACAACAGCTGTTGAGAATCAGGATAATAATGATGCAGAAGAATATTCTATAATGAAATCAAAGTTCTTATATTTACTGAAAGCAAAGCCCAAGAAAAATTTTGTGCCAAAAATCAGAAGACCAAAATGGCCCCCCACATACAGACAAGGCAAGAATGCTCTCAATAATGGTAGATATAGAGATGCTATAATCTGGCTAGAAAGAGCACTTGAACATGATCCTAATAGTTCCACCATTCAATGTGATCTTGCTTATGCATATATGCATATTGTAGACTATCAAAAATGTTATGACTATATAAACCAAGCTATCAAGAATAATCCTAAGAATGCTATGGCCTGGGCAATACTTGGAAATAATTATATGTTACAATCTGAATATAAGCAGTCTCTTAAAAATCTCAAGCAGTCATTGGAAATTGATCCAAATAATGTATTTGCATTGAGAGTAAGGGGATATGTCTATCACATGCTTAGACAATATGACAATGCATTAGTTGATCTTAACAAATCATTGGAGATTGAACAACACAATGCATTTGCATTAAGAGTGAGAGGAAATGTCTATCTTATGCTTAATAAATATGATGATGCATTGGCTAATCTTAATGAATCATTGGATATTAAACCAAATAATGCATGTGCATTAAGAGTAAGAGGAAATGTCTATCTCATGCTTAATAAATATGATGATGCATTGATTGATCTCAATAACTCATTGTATATTGAACCAAATAATGAATATGCATTGAGACTAAGGAGAGATGTTTACCACAAACTTAGTCAATATGATAATGCATTGACAGATCTCAATAAAAGACTGGATGTTGAACCAAATAATGCATTTGCATTGAGTTTAAGAGGGAATGCCTACCTCAGGCTTAAACAATATGACAATGCATTGATTGATCTTAATAAATCATTGGATATTGAACCTATTAATGCATTTGCATTGAGTTTAAGAGGAAATGTCTATCTCAGACTTGGTCAATATGACAGTGCATTGACTGATCTCAATGAATCATTAGAGATTGAACCAAATAATGCATTTGCATTAAATATAAGGGGGAATATCTATCTCATGCTTGATCTACTTGACAGTGCATTAACAGATCTCAATAAATCATTGGCAATTGAACCAGATGATACATTTGCATTGAGAGTAAGGGGAAATGTCTATCATGCACTTAAACAACATGACAAGGCATTGCAAGATCTCAATAAATCATTGGAGATTGAACCAAATGATACATTTGCATTGAATTTAAGGGGAGATGTCTATCATGCACTTAAATAACATGACAAGGCATTGCAAGATCTCAATAAATCATTGGAGATTGAACCAAATGATACATTTGCATTGAATTTAAGG